GGGAAGGAAGGAAAAAAAAAAAGAAGAGGAAGGGGAGGGGAGGGAGGGAGGGAGAAAAAAGAAAGAAAGAAAAAAGAAGAAGGAAAGAGAGAAAAAGTAAAAGAGAAAGGAGGAAGAAGAGGAAAGGAGGGAGAAGGAAGGGGAAAGGAGGAAAGAAAGAAGAAAGGGAGGGGAGAGAAGGAAGGGAATGAAGAGGGGAGGGGAAAAGATGCACAAGCTACCATATAGCCAACAATTGAGAAAAAGATGTATTTTGGTTTTTTAATTAATATTATAGGATATATAGATAGAATGTACAGTATTTGTGGTTCTCATCCTTGCATGAAAAGACAAATGGTCTCCATAGTCCTCACCCTACTATGAGAAACTAAAGATTTCTGCAAAGTTCTCAAAAGGTGTCCTCACCTGGGAATTTTTCCACATAGAAATATATGTGTATTTTTGACCCAGATATATATCCAATTTCAACAAGAAACAAATTTTCTACATGAAACACATTGCTTCTGGCATGTGAGGCTGCAGGTGGGGAATAATCTGTGTGAAAAAAATCCATCCATCCTTTTAAAAATCACATGTAATTCCTTAGAAGACTTTGAAAACTGCCAAGAATTTTGCTGCCACTCTTTTCTTCCCACTTGGGTTTCCTGAGTGTCAGGGCTCAGGAAGCAAACTGAAATAAATATTCTTTTCGTTCTTGTTAGCTCCTGAGCCATATTGGCTCCCATATGCACCACAAGACAAGAAGGGCACAACAATAATAGAGTTTGCTAAATCTGCATCATTGGGCTGTTGCTTAGTGACACAATAATTATTAAATAATATCAGTACCTTTTCCAATTGAAAGGCTTCCTGCTGTGTTGCTCTTGAAGTCACTTCATTTACTTGGGTTTCTGTGCTGCTGCTTGACATCTTGACTTGACTTTGGCTCGACATCTTCTATGATGGAATAAAACCAATGGACATTTGTAATTTAATGGTACACTTGAAAACAAAGAGACAAGAGCAGGATTTTGCTGCATTTCCCTCCCATGTAAATGGTTTTACAAGATGCACAATCAAATTGACTGTTATTTATGAGAAGATTATAAGTAATAACATAATGGACAACAGTGAGATAAAACCTGGAACAGGCTTTGCTATACCATTGTAGTTTCAGTACTGTATACCTACAAGAGACTTCCTTTTCTCTGTAGCATAAGATACACATCAAAAGAGATTGTACACAGTGACCTGGGTTTTAATGCTAGCTTTATTGATTTAATCACCAAATTCCTATCTGCTGGTAAGTATGTGACCAGAATCTTCCCAAACTTTAGGATGATGCAGCACTCCATGCACAGGCTACTCACAGCTTTAGTGTGGATATATCTATAAAGTAGGCCTGGGTAACAACAGAAAAATTTGTTTCTAAAATCGATTCGTTTTTTGGGGGGTTTTCCGTTTCGTTATTTAAAATAATTACAAAATTTTCCTTTAAAAAAGTTCAATATTTACGAAATTTCGTAAATGTGAAAAAAATTACGAAACAATAACGAATCGATTTCCGAAACAATAACGAATTGATTCGTTAATGGCGGACGCGACCGCGCAATACGCTAAAAAACCTCCAAATGGGACAGGGGGAACTTCTGAAGCTTAATTAAACCAAAAACAACTATAAAAACCCTTAGAAAACCAAAAACAACTATAAAACTTGCCCCAGACATGCGGAAATAATAACGAAACGACCTCAAAACGATAACGAAACGAATACAATAACGAAATGCAAAACATTTACGAAACGATTTAAACATTCGTTTTTTTAAAAAATTGCTCCAGACTGGTTTGTTATCGTTTTGTAATTGAAAAAATAACGAATTTTTTAACGAATTAACGAAACGAAACCACCCAGCCCTACTATAAAGCTATAGCTTAGAAGTCCTAACAACTAGCTTCTAGAAAGGGCACTCTAAGACCTTTCTCTGGGGATGCCACTGAAAAGTGTAATTAATTTATTCAACATGGCAAGCCACCACAGTTTACGATCTTTAACTTCTGCAGTTGGCTTCCTTCTTAGATTTAAATCTAAACCAGGCTGGAAAGGAACACTTCCCTCCCATCTTTTTCAACCTGGCTGCTGTGGTTGTGTGGCTATGACAAAGGAGAAGTATTTTTCTCTTTCACACACATACTTATTTCTCTGCCGATCTTCTTCTCATTAGCAGCAAGAAGTAAGGAGAGATAGACATTTCTTCTTCTTGCTTCTCTGCCACTTCGAACATGCTCACAGTTGTTTTCTAGATACTGAGGATGAGGAGAATAGTTCCCATCTTTCCTTGTTATGACAATTGCCAAGAGGAAGGGAAATTCCATGTAAGCCACTCCGAGTCCCCATCGGGGAGATGGTGGCGGGGTATAAATAAAGATGATGATGATGATGATTATTAAAGGGGCATATTCCTACTATTGCAGAAGTAGCACATGAAGTAGTTAGTCCCAGGAAAGGAGATTTAATAGGAGAATGCCTAATAAAAAAAATCTCAAATTTTATTATACTTTTTTTTGTTTCCAATCAGTATCCATTTTCCCCCAGGAAACAGTGATTTCTACAAATATCTTCTATGCAAAAGTGTTGCCTTGAACCCTATTATTTATAGACCTTACTAGAGTAAACCCTTGGATTCAAAGGGATTCGCTGATGTGTTGATTCACTGTTCAACAATTGATCAAGTGGATTAGGCAGTAAGATTTTTAGCCAATGACTGTTTTGCAGATCCAAGAATTCAACATCCCCACCCATCCATAAAATGTGGCATAAAATTATTTTGTGAAAAGTCCCAACATTATAGAATATTTCTAATCCAATATAGCAGTTTGATTGGTTGTTATGTGCCTTCAAAATTATTTTGACCTCTTGTAACTCTATCCTAGGGTTTTCTTGGCATGTATTTATGTATGTGTATGTGTATACATGCACACATATATACATACTATATATACACACACATACATACACACACACACATACATACACATACATGAATATACATATTAATAATTAGTGCTTGGCAAAGATTTATTAAGAAATAATTGCCATTCCTTTCCTCTGACAGTGGGAGAATGTGACGTACCCAAGCTCACCCAGAAGGTTTCTGAGGCTAAGAAAGGATCTGATTCCTAGTGTTCCAGTCCAACTTCCAAGCCCATATACTACCACAGTTGGAGGAGTTTGGTGCTACTTAAATTGTTATGGTTTTATCCTTCAAATCATGCCATTTACAGTTTAGTTGAATACTAAGAATTCTCTCCTGGAGAGCTCGACTGCACTCTCTGGGAATTATACTGGAGCTTTATGGTAAAGAAGCCCAAGTATCACATCAAACTACATACCTAAGGATAGTGAAGTATGGGCCCATGTCTGTTAAATTGGCATTAAATTGCTATAATGGCATAGTGTAGATAACACTTTTATCCCTGAATGTAGACCGTAGAGCACATAGAAGGATTCAGAGATACACAAATGGACCTGCAATTGGTGGATTGTGTAACTTATATTCACTAAGCTCTGAGCCAAGATAACAAGGTGCAAATTTTAGGGGAGAATAGATTCCTTTTTTCACTACCCCATGTATTCACAAATATTTCCCTTTTGAAAGAGTGAATGGGAATGGCAAAATGTGAGCTTTCTAATTCTCCAATTATGGTTTGGAGTGGAAATAATACAATAATACAGGTCAAGGAAACAATGGGGTTGGCTGCAGGCAGGAAGTATCCAGTTCAAATTAGCTGGGTAGCAGCAGGAGGAAAAATGGGAGAAATGCCTTAGACAGGCCTTTTTTCATAAAAATAATTGTGGAAATGCTGTTGTAAAGCAATTTTCACATAAAAATAGTATGCCAGAGAAAGCAAATGCAGAAAAATCAATGCATGTCCCACAGGTAGGGATAGATGTTAAGAAGTGTTCACAATTGATTTTTCCCCATTCAGGATTCTCTGAAGCAGATCTAAGTTGAAAAGAAGTGGAAGCTGAGGAGCTTGTGATGGTATTGCCAGTTGTAATCTCTCACGTTACAACATCTGCCTCAAATTGCATAAAACTCAAGGTTTCTCAATTAGATATACAAGTTACTATAAAATGACCACTAACAATTGTTAGTAAGCATGCCAGTGAGTCCTTTATATTGAGCGTAGAATCTTCACCATGGTGTAAATGGGAAAACTATGCCTATAGACATTTGCTTTTTTCAATGATAGCCCTGATATTCAAGCTATAATTGGTTCCACTTCCACATGTTTCATTTATAGCTGTTGTTGTCATGGGTTGTGTGGTTTCTAGGGTAGGACATGCTAACTTTGTATACTGTCAGAAACACATACCCTGCTCTTTGACTTCTGCTCCACATAACATCATAAGGCAAAATATAATAATAAATTGTTCGCAAGTTATTCCCAACATAAATTGGTACAGTCAAAAAAGAGTATACCACTGGGGAGTACCATCATTTGCACAAGAACCATCTTCAGTTATGTCGTTGCAGACAAGAAAATAGCTTATTTGGTTATCTCTATCTCCCCCTTCCCCGACCCCAAGGGAAAAAAAACACATAGAAATTGTTGTATTGTAGAGGGCTGCCCTGCTCACATGGACAGTCTGGAGTGGCATTTTGGTTGTTGAATGCTCACAATTCATTGGCCTTGCTAGTTTGGGAAGATGTAATTCTTGTCCCAATACGCCTAGAATGCACCAGGTTGCAAAGCTATGATATTTCTCATAAAGAATCTGTGGATATATAAACTTTGCATTCATTATGGCAAATTTGTTTGGGATAACAAGGAGATATTGGGCTAAATAATATAGCAAGTGAAGTTTTTAAAAATTAACAATTGGAACTTTTCACCCACTCATTTATGAGTGACATTAACAAACAGCATTTTTTAGTTTGCACATCACATCCATCACTCCATTCATCTTAATTGATTTATACAGCACTGATAAGCTGTCAATTCTCCCAAGAAAACCCCTAAGCAGAACAGATGAGCCCTTAATATTAGTGACCAATGTTTGCAATCACATTCTTCAAAGAGATGTGCAGTTAAAAGTCTTTGGCAAGAATGATGATCTTATTCTTCTGCAGTGACCTAGATGTACTTTCCTATTTTTATGAGCAATAATTCATTTCCTGAGCTTTCTGTGCATTTTACGATGAGGCAAACTTCATATTAGTTGATATTTTTTGCCATGGTTTGGGGTCCTACAGTTCATAAGTGTTCTACTTTCTCTCTTTCTACAAAGATGGCTGGATGCTCTTTGTCTGAAAAAAATGGTATAAGAACCAATTTTATAATATTTTCTGATTGGCTTTCTTGCCCTTCAGAAGCGGTTTAATATTTGTGCCCTTGGATCTCATGGTCCTATTCAATTGTATTAGCACCTCTTGCCCACCAATGTATTTTTCCTCATTCATCTTGTTTCTTAGATCCCGCTGGGAATGCAGCTTTTCTGCCCCATCATCCCTTTATCTTTTTCCTTCTTCCTTTACTGTATTATTCTTTACATTTGTTCTATCCTGAAAATGCACTCCTTGTTCTAATTTATAGTTTCTTTCATCCTTTGTTTAATCTTTACCTGACTTTGAACTTTAGCTTGCTTTTTTGTTGAGATTGTACTTCTGCTCTTGTTCTAGGAGTGCTTCCAAACACACAGCTGCTCAATACTGGTCAAACGCTATTCTGCAGCTATGCTCCCTTTTCCTTCTCAAAAGATTTTTTTCTTGTACTAAGAAAAATAGATAGAAGTTGTGGGAAAATTTGGGAATGGTCTAAATGGAATAAGCTTGGTAGCTCATAAACTAGGGACCTCTTCACATGGCCCCTGGGCTGTGCCGTTTTGTTGGCAGCTGCTGTTTAAATGGCAGGTGTGTGGGACACCTCATGGCACTTCAGCCTCTTCCCTCCTT